TATTTTACCTTAAATTTTAAGTAACTAAATTTATCTTAAACGTAAAATTCCAACAAAAACAAAATTGTTTGTGATTATATTTACATAAGTTACATTGTTTAATATGCCGTCTCAAAAAGTTATTAATTCCAATACATGTAAACAAGTTATGTAATCATACATTTATCTTGTACTAAATTTAATTAATATGTATTTGTATATGCAATTATTAGTTTTAAGCGAACACCATGTAACGATCCCACAGAAAACATGCATACATACTCGTACATACACATTTATTATATAAGCTAACGCAGTCCAGGTTTTACTACTTTTTATACACCAACTAGCATCAAAGCTTACAACGAAAAGTCTCCAAGGATCTAAACACATTTGTAATTATGCAAACAAATGTAAATAAATATATGTATATGTAGCAAATATATGTGATTGCAAATTAACCGAATATATGTCAGTGTATTTCTCCACAATATTCAATAAGTTTGTATATATAATTACTAAATATCATCTACCCACGAACAGCTGATAATTTTTTATTGTGATGTGCATCGATCCTATCGTTTAAATATACATACATACATTTGTAAATAAATAGTATAAAAAAATAAAAAGATCACTTGTATTTCTTCTGAATCTTATAACCAACAATTTTGCACAGTAGCAGTATAACTCAAGTGATAAGATAGATTTCAGTGTCTGTCAAGCGTCAACAAGCAAGTTTGTAATAAAAACAAAAATTTTACATTTGTACAATCAGAGAATGCATATTGTGTGGTGTATTTTTCTTTTTCGAAGTTATATTTTTCGATGTTCCTTCATGTGGAATTACAAATTAGTACTCAAAAAGTTTTCATTTAACATTTGCTCCTTCTCTACTCATTTACATTCTCTGGTACAATGTAGTTACAAGACAATGTAAACACTGCTGACGTTTTCGTTGCAGTAATTGCAGTAAAAGTACAAATAAAAAAAACGTTAGGTAGAGGTACGGTTACGGTTTAAAAAATTTTATACAGGTTGGTTGAAGAGTTTCTGCTCTCACCAAGAAATAGCACTACTAGCTCCAATTTTTTTTCTCTTTAAGTTGGTACATCTGTCGTGCGGACACAAGCAAAGTCATTATGTCAATTAATTCTTTGTTTACAAGCCATTTGAATGAAGTTCACGTGATAGAGTATTTTGTTAATATGGAAAAATTTGATATCGCGCAGTGATTAGATTCTTTGTTTCGAAAGGTTTAAAAGCAAAAGAAATTTATGAACAATTGTTAGAAGTGTATAAGGTGTCCTCACCTTCAAAACGCAGCAGCTGGAGCTGGTGAATTTAAACGTGGTCGTACTAGGCTTAGAGACGTTCCACGCGAAGGACGAACAAAAACCGCAACCACACCAGAAATCATTAAGCAAGTTCATAATATTGTTAGTGAAGATCCAAGTTTGACTAAACCGCCGCACGTGTTAATGATTCAACAAAAACTGGATCGAAAACAAATTTCTCCGCATAATTTGGAGCGTTTAAGCAGAATAAAACCGATTTCTCGCGTCGTTTTGTAACTATGGATGAAACCTTGATCTACCACCATGATCGTAAATTTAAACAAGAACGTTTACAGTGGACTGAAGCTGGATGTTCAGCTCCAAAGCAGGTGAAGTCACAACGACCAATCAACTCTAAATATTATTGCAGCCTTTTGGATCAGTTGGATGAAAAAATTCGTGAGAAAAGGTCTGGTTTGCAGCACAAAAAAATCATTTTTCATCAAAGAACATGTGCAAAATTTCAGGGCGATATCTCATAAACTGGGGGACTAGTTCGCATACATATACAGACAGACGTGGCTACGTGGCTAGCAATTATTCTGAATAAAACCTTTATAAAATACATATATATGTATATTTACCATACATATATATAAGACATGTACTACTTTTTCTGTACCCCAATTACATCTGTTATTGAAAATTAACGCTGGTTTTTTTTTGGATTATGTATATTTTAGGGTTTTTTTCAAAACATCACTTACGTCTTACAATAAAAACTCAAGTAAACAAACACATTTTTTATTTATTATTATTCTAATAACTTCTTTTTCGATTTTGGCGTTGATATTGTTTTAAGTGCGACGCGTCGTGGCGTTTTATTGCCCGCCATCGGCGTTTTAGGTGTTGGTGTAGTTGCGCATTCTTCCTTACTAGCTGTTGTTTCAGCATTTATCGGTTGTTCGACGGTCATAAAATTCTGCTCTGCAGTAGTTTTGACAATTGCCGCCTGTGAGTTATTATCCACTGAATCCTCGTATACCAAACGTATATCTTCTGTACACTCCAACGTTGCGTCCTTGTTGACGACCGACTTTTGAGCCTCAGCTGCTGCCTGAGGTTTAATAATCGGTTCAGCCAATGATGTAGCAATCTTTGTTTGCACTACAATGACACTATCGTCTACTTCCATTGGTGTTGGCCAGGCATCCAGTGCCACTTCTTCTACAGTCGATGTTGAAACTGCCACTGGTGGCGCTGGCATCGTTATAAGCGCACGAGGCGTGCGCCGCACTGATATGGGTGTTGCGCCCTTCGCCTGTCGCGTTGTAGCAGGCGTATTTGTGGCTTTCTTTGTAAGAGATGTATTCGTCTCATTGGTAGAGGGAGTGTTAATTGCACTGGGTAGCGTTGAACTACGTGGTGTGCGTCTAACCATTATTGGCGTGACAGGACGACTTTTCTTCTCGGGTGATTCGAAGCGTTCATCGGAGCTAAGAATTTCCTTGTCAATAATAATTTGAGCACCAAGCGTTTTTGTAATTGCCAATGCGGGTCCAGCATTATTTAAGTTCACTGACACGCTCTCATTAACCATATTTTTTTTATTTTGAGTTAAGACTGCGCTTTCGCCACTATTTACTTCTTCATTTTTTTCTGACTGTGCTTCTACTATTGTTGTAGTGGTAGTAATTGGTGTTGCTGCTGTGGCTTCCACTGTCTTCGCCATTGGTTCATGGGCTTTTTGTTCTTCGGCTATTTGACCTAGTGGATAACGTTTGATGTTTATACTTTTCGGTTCATCAGTAGATGGTTTGCGCTCCTTAGCGCTTTGTCCATCGTTTTCTTTTTGTTTCTTCGATTTTTTACCAACTGTATTAATGTCATTTGCACTTAATACTTGCGCCGCATCTTCATATTCTTCACCCAATTCACCCGCTTCAAATGTGATTAACGAACAGAAACCATCCGTACTCGACACAACGACAATTCGACCGTCACTGGACCAAGTTACATCTGTTAGCCGCGTATAGTGTATATTTGAGATTACTGCAAATGGTTGTCGCTGCTGTGTATCATAAAAGTAAACGGAACTACGCGTTGCAACCGCGAAAATCATGCGATATGGCAGTGGCACAACTGGTGGATTGATATCAGCTTTATGTGGTCGCAATCGATAGAGAATCGGGCAGCAACGCACCGCCACTGTATACTGTCCGGGGCAGGGCAAAACAATGGCAGGTTGTCGGAAGGCATGTCGACTAAATACGTAAGTGGTGTGTAATGATTGAGCTACATCATCTTTTTCAGCCACACCGGCAGGTGTCAGCAGCAATTTGCCATCAGGCGTAAAGCAAAGGCGACGAAAGAATGTCTGCAATGTGTCGTCGTGGAATATACGCAAACGATGGCCGTGAAATTCATGACTCTCGCCGACTGGTAGTGTGGATTTATTAATGCGATGTAAAACCCTCTTCGACTGTATGTCGAAAATGCGCAAATATCTGTAAAAATTATAATAGACAGTTTTAAACGAATTGAAAATAATAAATAATTTTCATTTGTTAAATTTTTACTTATATTTTTAAACATGTATTTATTTTTAATTTTATTATTGATAAAAAAAATGATACCAATTACTTTTGAAATTTATTTAGAAAAAATTATTCTTTTCCACTTTACCTATCCGAACTCAGTGTAGCAATATATTGATTTTTTGGATCCCAAGCAACACCTTGTACAAACGATTTGTGATCACGCAACATTCCCGTAGATTTCCCCTTTTGCACGTCCCATACCATAGCAGAATTATCCACAGAACCACTTACGAGAAACTGTGAATTTGGCGCCCAACTCAAATCGTAAATGTCCTCCATGTGACCGCGCAATACCTTTAATACAATCCATACTTCTTTGTCTTGCTCGTTAGTGTTGTCCAATATATTCAATGGTTCCTGCTCGCCTTTTAGCTTCCAAATAAAGACGACACTCTCGTCATCACCCGATGCCAGCAACTCACCGTTTGGTGACCATTTTACAGCATTTACTGCACGCTGATGCCGCGTTAAATCAGCAGCCAAATCCAATTCGATATCCTTTTCATCCTCTGTGTAGTTCATATACCAGATAAGTACATGAGCATCTGTGCCACCCGATGCCAGACGATGCTTTATATTACTTTTTTCCGTCGATACTAACGATCTGGGTTGTATATCAACACTCAATACTGGGTCGCGATTATGCCATGAGATTTCTGGTATTTTACACTTCATATTTCAATAAATAATTTTAATGCAATATTACAAGTACTTGGTATAAACAAAACCTTTCGAAAAATGAGCAGTCAATTAAAAAGCAAAAATCACATTTGCGCGCCAAATCACAAAGTGTGAAATGTCAAACACAATACGGAAGTGTAGGTCAAAACAAAACAAAGCAAAATTAGAGTTGCCGCTACTTTTAAGTCGATTGAAATCGATGTGATCACCCTAATATAATAATAGTAACTTTACAATACACTTTAAAAATTAGTGTTATACGGTTATGTTGAAGAAAATATTTTAAACAAAATTAAAAATTCAAGTTAGCATATACTTCTTTAATAAAATCCGTTATTTATCAGAAAACCCAGAATATGTATGACTTAAAATTAATCAGCGACCTGTTTTTGGTAACTTTGAGGAATGTTCATTACCATAACAACAGCAACCGTAACAGTTGTCAAAAAATTTGTGACATTTGTTTTATGAATAGAAAAAGAATTTGGCGGTTTTTATTTTTATTTAAATATGATTGGGACAGTGTCTCTCTATATCTCAGAGAATGTTTTCTTTTTTTGTTACAAAAATTGTAAACGCTCCTGATGGAGAGGAGGTATAATGGCAATATCGCTTATAATTTAAGTATAATATTAGTAATTGAATCACTACGCTATATTCTAAACGAATTCAAAATTCTTACATGGCTCACTGCTGCACTCACTGAAGGGAAATTAAAAATATGTAATGAATAATTTAACATTAAATCTGATTGCAATTTCAACACTGCTTAAGCATTTACAGCCTCGTGTATTGGTTTTACAATATGGAACAATTTCTTAAACACAATATAAACTAAATATAAGTTAATCATCTACATTTTATATTAATAAGTACATTTAAGACGGCTTTTTCGTTCAACCTTTTTGATTTATAGAAATTATCTTATAGATTCTAGCGCACAATCGGGCGAAGGATGCTTCCGCTCCTTATATTCTTATAAATATCCATTATAGCTAAATAATTTTGTTTTGCCAATTAGAAGCGGTTACAGCAACGCAAGTAAATAACGTAAGTATGCTTAATTATATATTAAATAAATATTATTAATGATTTGACGAACTTTCAGTGAAATATGGATGTTGCATAGCCTGTTCCGCACTAATACGTTGATTTGGCCGACATACCAATAATTTTTGCAATAAATCTCGACCTTTAGAATTAAGACGGGGTACTATTTGACTCCAGGATGTAATTGGCGAAAATGCTATAATAATATTACGGATTTTTATATATGAAATAATGTTGAATAATAAAATAATAACACTTACATGGAAGCGCCACGTAGTCAGCCAAGTGAGTGACACCAGGCCAAGTCTCTTCTGTGGGAGTGCCAAGCACACGGAAGATTTTCATCAGTTGATCCAAAACATCTGATCCTGGAAATAACGGTCGACCAGCATCAGCAAGTTCAGCAAATATACAACCTGCCGACCACATATCAATACTGGTTGTATATAATTTCGCACCAAAGAGTACATCTGGTGGCCTATACCACAGTGTAACTACTTCAGCAGAATAACACTTTACGGGAATACCAAATGCACGAGCCAGACCTAATATAATTAATTTTAATATATATACTTTGGGTACTTATTGCGGTAGTTTTACCGAAATCGGCTAATTTTAGCTCGCCATTTTTGTTGATCAACAAATTCTGCGGCTTCAAGTCCCGGTGGAGTACATTGTGACTGTGACAGAAAGCGAGCCCACGCAACAGTTGTAACATAAAGCTGCGGCAAACTGCCATATCGATTTCTCCATTCAAGCTATCAAAATATTTCTTCAGATCCTGATCACAATGCTCAAAAACTAACGTTAGCTTCTTGTCCGAGTGTAACACATCATAGAGACGCACAATGTTTTTATGTTTCAGCTCCTAAATGTGTAATATATGTTTTATTAATTAAAAAATGCACTAAATCCCTTTTCACACACCTTCAAGAGGCAAATTTCTCTGAGTGCGGAACTAGGCACTCCCTCGTCGTCCTCGTCCAAACGCACACGTTTCAATGCCACAATTTCCATGGTCTCACGATTGCGTCCCTTAAATACAGTACCGTAAGTACCCTCACCGATTTTTTCCAATTTTTCATATTTTTGCATTTTGTTTAGACAATAAGCACAAAATAAACCACTTGATAACTTAATTTACCGTTTATGATTTTGACAAGAATAGTGTCAATTTTTTAGAACTTTTGGCTTCAAGTGTTGATTGTCAAAACAAATTTTATGAGTACTAAAAAGTGATAAGAGATATCAGTGTGGTAAAGCAATTTGATTTGATTTTGATAAAAAAGTTTAATTACCCAAATAAAACACAAGTAATTTGCTTATGAATAGTCTGCATCTAATAGAAACTTAAAATTAATTATCGACAAGATATAGTTATAATTTGTCAAGCAAATTCTTTTTAATTCTATATTATATCGAATTGAAACAGTGTTGTAAAGAGCCAACAGCTGTGCGTATTTTATCGCTTATCTTTCGCAACATATTCGCACTATTGTCATCATAAATGTCAATTGGAAAAATTCTGTTGTGACTGGAGAGTTCATTTTGCAAAAAAATTCGATCAGATGTGCATTCATTTTGAATTTTATCACGTAAAAAATAATAAAAATAGATTAAATTAATATTTGTGCTTATCGCACAAACGCAGAAAATGTTTTAACAAGAAAGAAAAGTGAGTAAACTGTGCATAAATGAAAGTCATTAGCCCCATTGTGGGGCGCTGTGGCGCTGCTTTCATTGCGGTTGTCGCAGTCAATGGCGCTGTCTTGTTGGCTCATCAACAACGCAATCGCATTTATTTTGCATGTTCCTAAAGTAAACTCGCTTCATTGGTATTTACTCCCCCATTTGAAGTATTGTGATTCTTGTGTACTCTGGATTCCAGTGGTATTCGCAGTTACTGATAAGTGCCAATCAAACCGCAAAAAAAAAAATAATAATAGCGCCCGAAATTCATAAAAGGAAAAAAACAAACTATTAGTCAACATCGATAAAAACAAAAAATCATTTTTAAACTTGCTGCGGTTGAATGTTGCTTTGGTAATCAATTTCTACGATTGTTCTATTTTTCAGAAGGTCATCATTTAATTATCAATTGAACATTGTGAGGCAGTGTGCACAAACAACACAGCTGCCCGTCTTGCCTCTAAAAACATTGTACAGTGTAGTAGTTTAACTTTAAACACTTCCGCCATGGTGCCGCCAAAGGATAATGTGGACCTTGAATGTTTTTTGGTGACAAAACATTCGTGGAAGGGTAAATATAAACGTATATTAGCTATTGGTACTGCTGGAATTTCCACATACAATCCAGATAAGTTAGATTTAACAAATCGTTGGACATATTCAGACATCGTTTCGGCGGCACCGAGTAAAGCGACAAATGTGAGTCATGTACCTTTTGTGATTTATTATTTACTTGAACTATTATTTGAATTGCAGATACCAAATGAATTTGTGCTTACTATTAAAAAAGAGAAACGCGTCGATTCTATAAAACTTTCATCTGAATATCGAAATGACATACTCTGCTCGATATTAAAGTATTACAAAGAGTTTGCTGATAAGCCTAAAAATTCACAAGTGAGTCCGATATAAATAAATTTGTTCCCGTAGTGCTTAGCTAACACGCCCATACATAATTATTTATATTATATGTATGTATATGTATGTGCATTGTTTTTGTGTTAAATTTTTTACATACAACTTTGTTTACACTATATGCATTGCAGCGTTTCCCTGCTTATAAATATCATTGGTCTGGTGTCAGTTTACCCACAATGCTTGAAGTCACACCGTGCTCATTAGATCAATTGGATCCAACAACAAATGAAGTGCTCACAAGTTATATGTATAAAGACATAGAGGGCATAATAGGTACTAATAGTTCCTTAGTTATCACATAAACATAAATATTAAGTTTGCCTGCAATCATTGCTTCGAGTTGAAATTGAAGACATTTTGAGCTTAACGAAATATAATTTACAACTAACAATTTAGTGACAAATGCACGGACCAACAAAAAGAAATCATTTGGATATTAATTTTTCACTGGAACTTTTACTAACCATTTAAAGTTGTTCTTGCTTTTAATAAATAGTAAATTTATTCTAAAACAAATTTTTCTTACCCAATTTAATTTTAAAAACTTGTCTCTACGATATAAGTAGGCATTTCCGACTACGATGGGGGCATTGTTATGGCCCATGGTGGCTTCAGTCGTTTACATCTTTTTCGTGCATTGAATCATCATGAAATTGTGCAGAATATAGCTCAGCGTTCGATCCAGTTTCTCGGTATTGAAACGAAAATACTCAAAAGCCAAATAACACTTGAACAATTCGAACGTCAGCGTTTCGGTGAATATAGGTAAGTATTGTATTTGCACATATGCACATATTTATTTACATATAATTATTTAATATAAATGTTTCCCAAACAGCGGTGATCAGTATCAAACATCTATGACCGAATTCACGGTGCAAAAGATTACACCACGTCATCCGGATCCAGTGAAGCGCATACTTTGCCTCACGGAAGCCACGCTGTTGGAACGCGATCCACAGACATATAGCGTTTGCACGCTACGTTTGCTAACCGATGTGTTTGCTTTAGTACGAGATAAAGACAATTTGCAACGCTTTTGTATTGAATATAAAAATGGCATATTGCGTCAGTATTTGACCAATGACCGCGATTCGCTACTGGCCACACTTTTGGATGCAGTGCGTTCGAGTGGCAATAAGGATGTTCACGTACGCATAAGCAATACACCGCGTGGTAAACGTTATGTACCATTTAGTTGCTCCGTCGATGAGGAAACTGAGGCGAATTTACTGCGCTTAATCATCAACAATGTACAAAATCCAACGAAACGCTTTGAAGTACTTGAACGCTTTAACGCCAACATACCACACAGTGGTCTTAACTACAGTGTTACACAAGATGTAAGTAAATGTGCTACATGCTATGTGTAGTTTTTGTTTAAATTTTTTCAAATTTTTTTTTTGTTTGGTTTTATATTCATTTTTATTTTATTTTATATTATTTATATATAATATTTAAAAAAAAAATTTTTAATATGTTTATTTTTAATTTTTAAAATTTTTTTTTTAAGTTTTGTTATGATTTTTAATATGATTATTTCTTTTTTTTTAATTTCTTTATATTTATTTATATACATATATATTTTTTTAAATTTTTTTATATATTTATATTATTATATTATTCATATACATTTATTTTTTTTAAATTTATATATGTATATATTTTTTTTAAGTTTTTTGTATACAAGTATTTTTTAAATTTTTTTTATATATAATATATATATTTTTTTATATATTTATAAATTATTACAAATATAAATGTATTTATAAATTTTTGTTTTATATATTTTGGATTTTTTATATACATACATACATACATTTTTTTAATATATTTTAAAATTGTTTATATATATTTCGTATAGAGCCTCTTTGCGGAGAACAAAGAGAAACTCATCTTGAGTGCGCTGCAAGCTTTGGCACAAAAGGAGCTCGACAATCCAACTGCACAATTGAACAATCTCGAAATCGAAACAATCTTTCACGCACTCACACGATTGCTAGCTAGCAAAGTCGGCTATGGCGCATTTACAAACTTAACCGGGTGAGCTATACACATACGTTTTTCTTGTATACAATACATTAATTTAGAATTATTTTTGACATATTGAAGTTTTCGCGAAATTATCGGCACGAAAATTGTTGCGGCTTTGCGTCGTAAAGACTTGGCTGTTACATACTCAGCCATCGATATGATAAATTCACTCATGCATTCAGTGAATGCCGATCATGACCTGAAGCAAGAGCAATTAAATAAATCATCCATATTATCGTCAAAGTCATTTCTGGAAACATTGCTAAACATGTGGACAACACATGTGGTATGTAAACACACATACAAATACAATTTTATATAAAATTATAACTTAACTTTAATTGCAATATCATTTACAGAGTCACGGCAGTGGCGCGCTAGTGCTATCCGCTATGTTGGATTTCCTCACATTCGCCCTCTGTGTGCCTTACAGCGAAACGACAGATGGCAAACAATTCGATATATTGCTGGAATTAGTTGCCGAACGTGGTCGTTATTTGTATAAACTCTTTCAGCATCCCTCGTTGGCCATTGTGAAGGGTGCTGGTCTAGTTTTACGCGCCATTATCGAAGAGGGTGAACTGCATGTGGCCCAACAGATGCAGGCGTTGGCTTTGGATGAAGCGGCATTGTGCCGGCATCTACTTGTTGCACTATATACACCAACCAATGATCCAACTTTGGCGACTCATCGTCAGTTATCACGCCATTTAATTGGTTTGTGGATTACAGATAACGAGGAAGCCTTGGAATTGTTGAGACGCATATTTGTAAGTATTTTTCGAAGTATAATTTAAAAGTAATGTATTTATGTATATACTATAATATTGTTTTGGCGTTTAGCCTGCTGGTTTGCTAATGTTCCTGGAGAGCGAGGAGAGCGTACCAAAGACTGATGTGGAGGATGATAAATTGAATTTTCGCGATAATCTGAAACTCGCAATACAACATTCCAATAGAAATAGGAGGAATATTATTGAGAAACATTTACATGTATGTATTTTAGTATGATCAATATAATCACTTATAATAGCTTTTTCGATTCACTAAAAATTTGAGAGTGGCGAATCGAACAAACAACTCTCATAAATCAAGCAGGCTTGCATAATCAAGTGGCGTTAGAATAGGTGACAGACAAATCAATGTATGTACGGAAAAGCCGTTACATAGAAAACAATCTGTAAAGCGGTAAAATGAAACAAGTATCCAATAGTAAATCCAATCACATGACTTCAGGAGTGGAAATTTAAATTAAATAAAGTAATACGGCTTCGGAAACTACGGTTTATATGCGTAAAAATGTGTGTAGTATATATTAGAGCTGGCAACATCGTTGGATTTTTCAACTATGCGAATATATCTAAAAATCAAACATCAGTGGATCAGTTTTGGCTTTATTGTTGTTGTTGTAGCGGCAGAAAACATCCCTGAAGTAATTTCTAGAAATGCTGCTGAGTTGACAGTCGTTGGCCGGATAAAAATCCGGGTTCGTTTCGGTTACGTAGACCCGACTGTCGTGGCAACATGTTTTTGCTTTCTTCTTACTATCCGCTTAAACAGACTCAGCTAATGCATTTACTTGTGTGCTACGAAACGCTTTATTATTATTATATTTTTTTATTTTATAATTTAAAAAATTTAATACGTATTAAGTATCCATAATTTCTTTTCTCTTCCCCAAAGGATATCAAGCATTGGGGTATGAACCTCTTAGAGCAACAGGATCCTGCTGCTCAAGCTATAAAAAATCGCCCAGTGGTGCTTCGAAATCGA